CGTGGGTTTAGCCGATGACCAGGGTTTCGTGGAAGCGGACGCCGTGGTGGAAGAGGCGGCGGTGGAAGGCGTCGAGGAAGTCGAGGAGGAGTGGTTTCATTTTGGCACGGGAGAGGATGTGGAAGATGGCGAAGACGGTGGCGCGCGTGTGGTAGAATCCGGGCTGCCTGCCGACCCAGTCGAAGAACTTCAGGCAGGGCAGGATGTCGCGGTGGGCGGCGCCGTGCCGGAGGACGCGGAGGACGAAGCGCTCCGAGAGCGGCAGCGAGAGGGCGGATAGGGCGGCGGAGACGCCCTCGTCGGAGGCCGAAGAGGACAGGATTTCATAGATGCAGTGGAGGAGGGCGTCCAGCGGGGTCTGCCGCCTCGCGAACCACGTCTTGAACGTGGAGGCGATGTCTTTTTTGGTGACCAGGAACGTGGCTGAGGTTGACGGCGTGGATGGCGAATGCGAGGCGGCGAGGGAGGTGTATGCAGCATGGGAAGAGAAAGGGTTGAGAATGGTGGAGACGAAGGATTTGGATCTGAGACGGTGTTTGTTTACTTGTTTGAGTTGTAGTAGCATCATGCTCTCAGGGTTCCAATGCTCTCCAACTGTTTGTGGTTATGTCTGTGAGAGTGAGAGTGAGAGTGAGAGTGAGAGTCACCATAGGTGGAAGCACTTCTTAGTTCTGACTTCTGAGGTTTAAGGACGGGTTTCTTTTTCACTTGTTTCGCCAAATGCTTTCAAACTTTGAATTAGGTCTAGACTCTAGACTCTAGACTCTAGATGATTTCCTTATTCCATCAACATGGCTGCAGCTGCTAGTGCTACTGGGAATTTGGCTCATTCTATTACTATATACAATTTTTTTCCTTTCAATTTTATTTTCCTTTTTCTGATATAAACAACTTAGGTTATTGCTTGTCGAAATTGAGTAAAACGAAAAAATAAAATAAAACTATATAACTCTGTTAAAGAAGACATTAAAATCGGAAAAGCCGGGAAAGAATTATTATTTTGAGGTGCATGTGTGAGTATTTAGTATAAATTAAAATTATAACTTATTTAATTGTTTATTTTGTATTTTAGCATGTATAATATTCATTATACATAATTAAAATTTATAATAAATTAAATATATAAAAATATATAATATTTAAATATATAAATTATATTTCAAATTTATAAAATTAAATATTTCTAAAAATATATATTATATTTTAGATTTATAATAAATAATTGATATTATAACACAAAATTATTTTTATTTATTGATAATTTATTTTAGAAACTTGAAATTTAATTTAAAAATAATCATAATTGTTCTTACCGGAATTTGGTCATAGGGATGATCCGTCCAGTAAGATCGGTGAGCCTCCTTTACTTGATATATTGGTGCTCCAAGATGGGGGAGGTACCTGCAAAAGAGACTCTGATGCCAAAGTTAGGGTTTGCATGAATAATAGTCTCATATATATAATGCACGTACCTTAGGGTGGTTTAGGTTTGCCTTGGGCCTTGGGCCTGAGTTATGATATGATATAGTTGAAGGGCGGATCTGGTCTAAAGAGATTGAATTTCATGGCGCTCAAAACCAGCGTTTAGAAAATATCCACCGGAAACGGTTTTTGGCGACCGTAGATCCGGCGGTTATCAATGACGCCGGTAATGAGATTTGTGGCGGTTTTTAACTGCCAGAAACTGCCAAAATAACCGCCATAAATCACACATTTTTTTGTAGTGGGTGTCTACAAATTTAATGGCAAAAGATTTACTATTCACACACATCAGATCAAAGAGATGAGAACAACTCCTATAGAAAAATAATGCTTTTAATTTATTGTTACGAGAATATGTAAAGAAACTAGCAAACATTAAGATTACTACACTATTTTAAATGCCTCTTATTATACCGTCTATATGTCGCGACACCATGTGTATTAAGAACATAAATATTTAATATTTAATTTTCTTTTTTATATAATTCAAAATATTTAATAAATTAAATGATACTTCCTCTAGACCTATATATACCGGACTTATACATAAGAAAAAAGAAGAATTTCATATCAATTAAGAAAATCAATTAAATATATTTAATTTTCACAATTTCACATAAAATATACATTACATTTACTAAAACATCATTAACTACAGCTATAGTAGATAATGCTTTTATATATTGTTCTTACCGGAATTTGGTCGTAGAAGTGATCCGTCCAGTAAGATCGGTGAGCCTCCTTTGCTTGATGTATTGGTGCTCCAAGATGGGGGAGGTACCTGCAAAAGAGACTCTGATGCCAAAGTTAGGGTTTGCATGAATAATAGTCTCATATATATAATGCACGTACCTTAGGGTGGTTTAGGTTTGCCTTGGGCCTTGGGTCTGAGATAGGGTATGTTATGATATGATATAATTGAAGGGCGGATCTGGTCTGGGGCGAGATCCTCGGGTTCAAGTGTGATTTGCTCAGATACTGGGCTGACGTCGCGCAGCGCGTGCCCGGAGTTGTTTTGTATTGCTAATCCGGGCTCGCCCGGGTGCGAAGTACGGTTAGTACAATAATAAACAAAAATTAAATTAATTTATTAATAATTAAACTATAATTTATTGATAAATTATAATTTTTTTAATAATTAATTTTTACATATTAAACACGAAAACTATTTTTTTATACAAGAACACTTTTAATGACTTTTTTCGATGAGATATGTTAAAATAAATTCAATAAATAAAAATAATTTTATGTTATGATATAAATTATTTATCATAAATTTAAAATATAATTTTTGTATATTTTAAAATATATATTTATTTAAATTTTCAATATAATTTATATATTTAAACATAATATTTATTTATTATAAATTTTAATTACATATAATTAACATTTAGTAGCGTATTGGCCAAATTAAAATATTAGCAAATATTTAATAAGAAAGCAACCTAAATTTGTTAAAAAAGTTACATTCCTAGATAATAAAAAATATAAATGTGAATGTTAAGATAATTGCATTAAAAATAAACAAATTTAATATATATTAGCATCTTTGTTAACTTTTTTTTTCTATTGCATGTTTAATATATATTTTTTCTATTAAGCATGTTTATTAAACTTTTACATAACTATCGTGACATCATAACATGTTTTGATTTAAAAGGTTCATGTTTAAAATTTATTTAATTCAAAAAATATTTTTATCACTCTATTCTTATTTTTCGTTAAGTATAAAAAAAATAACCGGATAATTTTTTTTTAATCTGGTTGTTGGTCCAAAATACTTATTAATATTTGATTGATAGCTATTAATAGAATTCTTTTATTAAGAATTTTTTTTCTATTTACAAGATGGAGTAAGATGAATTTAAACTTAAATTAAAAAAGAGAAAGATTTAAATGGAAGTTAGAATTTTAATTTAATTATAAGAGGAGAGAAAAGATAGATTTTATTTTATTCATAAGAAGAGGGGATGAATTTTAAAATACAAATTACTTTTGTATTGTATAATTTTAAATTTAATAACATATTAAAGATGGTTTAAATATTATTTTAAAAATATTTTAAAATTCATCTTCTATTCTCATAATCATGTGATATTGGAGAGGAGTTAAAATTAAATGAAGGGAACTATTATCCACCCATATTTTTTTTCCTCCTAAAAAAATAAAAACAAAATATTTTTATTTTTATTTTTTAAAAAAATTCTTCATTCTCTTTCCGGTTTCTCTTCAATCAACCACCATATTAGTTTGGCTTACACCAGCCACTTTATTTTAAAAATATATTTAATCATAGTATAATGTTTTTGGCATATTTTTCAATTTAAAAAAAAATCATTTTTATCTTGTAATGATTAATTTCAACTCAAAGGAGTGCACACATGGGTTGTGTAAAGGGAGACACGAGGCTTCACATTGAACACCCCTTTCTCTCGTTTCTCATCTTCACCTGGTAAACTTCACATAACCTACTGCTTCTTTTCCAAATTTTTGATTTTTTCGACATCATGCACCAATTCCTTTTTGATTTTGATCTCTGTTGTGTTTATTCTTCTTGGGGTTGTAGTACTAGTACCCTTCGTGGACTTCATTCCCTTGTTATTATTCACTATGTTTGATGAATTAACTCTAATTGTTTATTGTTGCTAGGCATGGATTAAGTACTGGGAACAACCATGAAAACGTGTTTTTTTTTTTCCTCTTATTGATATAAAAGTTAAAATTTGTAAATTTAAGCGGTCCTTGTCCGTTAGTATCGATTTTCACCGATAGACGATGATTGTTTCCCCTGCAATTGGGAAATTTTTCGGTAGGGTTTCCGGGTTTGGTCATGGATGATGCTTCATTTGGGTGGGTTAATAAGAGTAATGGGAACATTCACTATATTATATTGGAAGAGGTATCCTATATACCCAAAATTCATGTCTCAGTACTCAAGAGGCAATGGTAGTGATCATGTTCATGAATTACTGATCACTATGTAAGCAAAATGTTTGTTGGAAGTCCACAGTAAGTAGGTGCCCTCGTTTGTTTCAGATTGCATTGGTGAAAGTGGAGTAGGCGTTTGAGTTCTGCTGGCATACATGGGTTTTGGCATTGGGACACTGAGTTTGTTCACAGCGGTCCGATTTGAGGCTGCAAATTTCAATGGTCTGCCCCCATCTCGGTCTCCCAAGTCGTTGCCTCATCTCTCGCTCACAAAGCCGTCTTGGGTTGTGAGGACGGAGTCGAATGTTCGGAAGAAAAGAAGAAGGAAGCCGGATCCGCATTGCGAGGTATGTGAGGGGAGTGGAAGAGTTGATTGCCACGAGTGTCATGGAAAGGGGAGGACAAACGAGGTTCATTTGGAAATGCTCTCAAAAGGTGAATGGCCAAAATGGTGTAGGACTTGTGGTGGAAGTGGTCTTAGTTACTGCTCCCGCTGCCTTGGGACCGGAGAGTATAGGTATATCATGGGCTTCCAATTCATGAACATTGACAATAATCAATCCCAAGGAAACAAGTCTTAGTTTTTTTTCTTTTTAATCTTGGGTGGTGGTATTAGGTTCAAGGTATTAGAGGATGTCTTGGTACATCAGCTTTACCTGTAATTGCTGAATGACGAGTCTCAATCACAGTATAAAAAACCTTGATAAATAGATTGTTCCAACTCTCACATCCCGGTGCAATTTGATTTTAACTTGTAGGTTGGTATTTTGCAACTTGAGTCGGTAATATAATTTAAAAATTATTTTTTTCCTTGCTTTCAAAAGAGAGCTTTGAAGGATCTCTCTAACCTTAGTCATATTTCATGCTATCCTACAGTTAATTTCTCGTATTCATATCTTACTGTTTATTTTTATTTTTTGTACAATTAAGCTAAATATGGAATTATATATACTTCTTCAACATTTAGGAAGTGCCAACCATTTAATTCAACCTCCTAGGATAGCTAGTTCCTATTGTGATTGTTTTGAATATTGACTTGCCAAGCAAGCAAAGTACTTGACACGTTTGGCATTTTGATTCTCAAACTATGTTGATAGAATTTCCTGGCCTCTGTATTAAATCCATTTCTTTGAATTTTGTTATCATAGAATTGAAGCTTCCTCCATGCTTAACTTATCATGTATAACTTGAGAATTCTTTTGGGGGGTGCTTATGGTTCACTCAAGACTTGAGAGTTGATAACTTGATATACCTTTTGAAATAACACAAGTATTTTGAGTTGTGTTTGTGACAAAGTCACATCTTAATTTTTTTCTCTTGGCAAGGCTGTTATCATACTAGATTGCTGCATCCGTAGAAGTATACCAACTATTTTCTGTGAGCTTATGGCATTTGGTGGTAATAGAATCATACCTTTCTGAAATTCAACTTTGATCAGGTTGAATTGCTCAAAATGTTTATCTCTCATGTATATGGTTCATTTTCAAAGGATCTGTGGAAATATTTTACATTGTTTTACCACTTTGAATACATCAACATGGTTTATTCCTCTGGGCATTTGTAGTAATCGGACAGTTGTGGTCAACGCCGGGGTCATATCATTACGATGCAAGTAAATGAAGGACAAAACAGACCTTGCCTTTCAGACCCATTTTTACAGTGGAGTCAATGGCAGTTGCTTGATTCTCTTCTACCTACTGGTGGATTTGCTCATTCTTTTGGCCTTGAAGCAGCAGTTCAGTCCCACTTAGTGTCTAATTCCAATGACCTTAAGACATTTATTATCCATATATTGGAGAACACAGGAAGCCTACTCCTTCCTTTTGTGTACTCAGCTTCCATGTTGCCCAATATGGAAACCTGGCATAAGCTTGACAAAATATTGGATGCTACCCTAACTAACGAAGTGGGTCGAAAGGCATCGATCTCACAAGGATCTGCATTAATGAGGGTGGCTTCAGCTGTGTTTTCCGAGATTCCCTCCCTCAAAACCATGAGAGATGCTTCTCTGGGTTTAGGGACTGTATCTTTTCATCATGCTCCTGTATTTGGACTTATATGTGGAGCACTAGGTTTTGAGAGAACTAGTTCTCAGAGAGCTTACATGTTCATCACAATGAGAGATATGATTTCTGCTGCCACGAGGCTAAATTTGATAGGACCCCTTGGTGCAGCATTGTTGCAGCATCAGGTTGCTCCTATTGCTGAAGTTATATTAGAGAAATGGATGAATCGTGGGGTTGAGGAAGCATGCCAAACTATGCCTCTGCTAGATACTGTGCAGGGCTGCCATGGTTACTTGTTTTCAAGACTGTTTTCATCTTAGAAGGTAAAATGTGAGTATTTCATTTCATATTTTGATGCATGTAAAAGGTTTGTAATAGTTAGTATTGTGCTCAGGACTGTTTTCATTTATTTGTGAACATTGCTGCGCGTTATTTGATGTTTTGTGCTGTACAAGTTCGTACATTCGCTTTGAAAACTATTTGCCAGTTGTGTTACTTGTGTATGCATGATAAAAGAGTTATTCTTTTTGCTTCATTACCTTAGCATTCAACAAGGACTAATGATGTTGCCATGTTTTGATCGATATAAGTTATATCGATGAAATTTGATTGTTCTAATGATATATTTATATTATATTATTATTATATAAAGGCAAAGCCTCTTTTAGGAATTGTTTTTGGTTTCAGCTTTAGTATGATTTTTTTGTCTCTATTTATATTGTTCATAAAAATAATTTTATTTTATTTTTTAAATGCAGACATATAGTTTTTTTTCCTACTACTAATATATTAAGGACTAAATTTATTTAATTTAAAATTACAAAAAATCTTCAAGTAAAAATTTATATCATATAATATAATAATAATGACTTTATATAAAATTATGTTGACTATAAATATTTATTTCAACTTAATGAAGATGAAAACTTATCAAAAACATATTAATTTATAAATCACAATGAATGTAGGAGATGAATTTTTTTATAGTAACTATGGTGTAAAAAGTGAAATGTCTTGTTTCGCTAGCAAGAGAGGATACTCTTTAACCATGATTGACATTTTAGCGGAAGGGCACGCACACAAGCTTCATGACTAATCTTTAATTTAAAGCTTAATTATGTTTAGGAATAAACATAGATACATCTAATTAGGGGCATTCATCATCTTTAGTGAAAAACTAGTGTGGCATTGAGGCAAAAGTGAAAAGTTTTGTTCTACTATGCATTTTAAACACTAAATTCTTTAAATAAGTTCATCCGCTAAACAACTGCACCACACACACTTACTTACATTTTAAGATTAATTCTTAACGTTCAAGCTTCAAGATTAATCCTTAATTTAAAGCTTAATCACGTCTAGAAATCGACTTAAGTACATGTAATTAGGATAGTCATTCATTGTAAAAATTAAAAATTTGGGCAAACTCTTAATTTAAAGCTTAACCACGCTTCAGGTACATCTAATTACACACACACAAGCTTAAAAAATCTACTTCAAGACTCGTCCTTAATTTAGGAATGAACTCAAGTACATCTAATTAGGACAATTATCCCTTCTAAAAACTAAAAATTTGGACTAATCCTTAATTTAAAGTTTAATCACACTTAGGAACGAACTTAGGTACATCTAATTAGAGACGGTCGTCTCTTCTAAAAATTAAAAAATTGTTTGTATTTTACACTTAAAAAAATAAATCTCTCCTTTCCACACCCTATCTCTAATTTTTATCTAAAAGACTAGACTCTTTACTTTGCAGTTTGCAGGACATTCCACGGGTTGAGAACATCACATACTTATATTTACATAAAGAATTTTTTTATTTATTTTTTATTTTGAATGACTAGATACCTCTAATTTTTGTTGAATGAAGCTGGTTAATAATTATTAATTCTTATTTGTATTCTTAATTTATGTAAGAGATATTATTTCATTTAAAAAATAAATGTAAGTCTTCCATGAAAAAACTTGGCGCTTTAGCATTAAAAGAAAACAAGAGGCAGATAAGTTTTTCATAAGGCAATGAGCCATGTATATAATGGAAGATTTTTAATAGTTAGTAATCGAAATAGAAGTATATTAATGTATAAGTGACACTAGAAAAGGTAGCATCATGCGTCCAACAACTCCAACGTGAAACATCACTGTATATATGGTAGTATTACTATTCAGGTTTTGTGTTGGGTTATAAAAGACCACCAATGTTTTTGCTTTTTGTTTGGAAGCAGGAGAAGAGGACGAAAGTGGCAGAACCAAAACACATACCATGGGTGGGACCATCCTTCACACTCACATCTTCACATATAGGGTATATATTATTTTCAATTTAGAAAAATAAAAATTATATTTATTTTTTTCATTTCTAGATTAAAATGATATACTGTTAAAGTTAAGAGATTGTAAAAAAATTCAAGAAATATTTTTAAAAAATAACTAAAAACGTTTTCATTAAAGAATAGAGTTTTGAAATACTCTATTTTGAGATAACTACTCTAATTTAATATATAAATTGAATATTAAAAATGAGGCTTAAAAGGATTTTGAATTAAGGTAATTTTTTCTAATTTACTATATAGGTGGATATTAAATTAAATTTTAAATTTTTCTTTACATCTATAGATGAAAATGTATATTGTTAAAGATAGAAGGTTATAATTTTTTTTTTGAAAAACAATATCATTTATGAAAAATAATTAAAAATGTTTTTTTTTAATTTTAGAATGAAGCCTAAAAATACTCTTGATAGTTATTCTAACTTTTTTTTTACACCATAGTTATTCTAATTTTAATTTAATACACAGGTGGATTAGATAGGAAATATTAAAGTAATTTCATGTTTGAGATGGTGTTGACTTTTTCAAGTTTACACTTTTTTTTTTGTTTGTCCCTAGAGTATCCAGGGCCGATAGCAGTGACTAATCTCCTCGCTAGGATTCAACGCAGCTGCATACAAGATTTAACGCCGCTGCATACCGAATCCCTGACCTTGCTTAAGCGTGGATCAACCCCTACCGCTGAACCACACGCTTGGGATTTTTTCACTTTTACACTTGTATATACTTTCACTTACTATTCATAAAATAATCACCCATTTTATTATTTTTTAATTTATATTTTTTAAATTTAGAGAGGGCTCCTTTTTTTATTTTTAAAAAAATTAATATTTTAACTTTGTAATACACTTGATAAATATTTATTATGTATAACTAAAATTTATGATAAGTTATATATGAAAATAAATCTTATGTTTGAATATATAAATTATAATATAATTTATATAATAGATATTTTTAAATATATAAATTATATTTTAAATTTATGATAAATAATTTATATTATAACAAAAGATTATTTTATTTTTTGATAATTTATTTTAAAAATTAAAATTTAATTTGCAAATAATTATAATAAATTAAAACGAATTAGATAAAAAAAATTTAAATCCCTAAAATTTTCTTATCGAAGAAAAATTGCTAAAAATATTATCACGCTAGATAACGAATTGTCTTTAATATATAAGACTTGACTTATCTTGTATCTTACTATCTTGCATCTTTGGGTGTTTTTCTTTAAAGAAAACATTTTTAAGTATTTTTTTTTTGTAAATAAGAATAGGCTAAAAACCTAATTTAGTCCCTTATAATCTTTTTTTGTTTCAATTTAGTCCCTCATTAATTTTTGGTCTCAATTTGGTCCCAAACTAATTAATTGGTTTCAATTTAGTCCTATATTAATTAATTGGTTTCAATGTGGGACTTTCCGTCCAAATTGCTTTAACGGTGTTAACTTTTGGCCACGTGGACGCCACGTAGATGCATCCGTGGATGCCACGTGGATCAATTTTTTTTTTTTAAAACACCTGGACCCAGAACGGCCC